TCTTTCTTACCTGTCAGTCCTCGGACCGGAGTCTCCTCCTGCCCCACCAGGGGGCGCGCGCGGGCCTTGCAAAGACCTCCCAAGGATCTGCTGGAAGGTACAAGGGTGGGGAGCCCGGTCCTGGTCCCCAGATTTGCTGGGGAGGGGAGCGCTAGAGCAAGCTTCTCAAGCTCTCTCTCTCTCTTTTAAATTATTAGCATGATTTATTTTATTTTAAAAATGTAATATTTTAATTTTTTGAGAATTTCATGCATGTGAGTCGCCTAGGAATCTTTGAAAGCAGGTTTTGATCAGGCTCTGAGTCTGGCCTAGGACTTCTGATAGGCTCCCGTGTGGCGTCCTTGTCGCTGGTTCTGGGAATTATCCAGGGGACCGTCCAGCCCTGGCCACAGATGTGCCCTGACCCCCTCTGCTTGCACAGGCACCTGTAATCACAGGGCTCGGGAGGAAGCCAGATTATGGTGAGTTCCAGGTCAGCCTGGACTACATAGTCAGGCCCTGTGTCAAAACACAAAACCACCAACTACATGCTGCTGCAGAGTGGCCTCCTGTGTGCACTCACCCACTTCGTTATCACGGGCTCCTGGGCCTCTGTGCTGGGGATGGCCTGGGTCCTCCAGCTGGGCTCGAGGACACACAGGTCAGGGAAGACATCCCCCATCCCCACCAGGGGACGGACTCCGCTACCTCTGCCTGGTGAGTGTGCAGCTGTGCCAGGCAGAAGGGAGGTAGATAAAGACAAGGCCTTCCCAGGTGAGGGGAGGTAAGCAAGACCCAGAGAAGAGAGGGCTGGGCCGTAGAGCTGAAGCATTAACATGGGACAAGGACTGCACACACAGATGTGTTCCACAGGCACAGCAACAAACACACGCATGCCCCTCCGAGGGACACATGTGGACAGGAAGTGGCACCTGAAATGGCCAAACAGGTCCGAAACTCACAGCTGTCCTCCTGCCTCAGCTTCCCGAGGGCCGAGATTATAGGCTCTCACCACTGTGCCTGATGCGAAGGGAATTCTTACTCAAGGACCTCCTTGTCTTTCCATATGACTGTAATGGTTTCCATGGCAACCTACTGCTGTCTTCTACTCAAAGGCCAAGGCTCCATGTTCTCCAAATTTTATGGTCTACCCCAGCCCCAACTCTGGACCTCCAGAACCAGAGACCTGAGCCCCAGAAAGTGTCTTATCCATACATCTGCTTCTCCACCCTTGACCCATGTTGTCCCCCAACAGTGTTAGGGGTAAGTCAGGAATTAGCCTCTTCCAGGCATCTGAGATCTAGAGACAGACACACATCCATGGGGTCTGACTCTGAGACTGAGTTCTTGCTGGTTGGAGCATGTTAGGGTGGTCTACAAAGTGCCAAGGTCCCAGACCCCCTGGCCTGCCCTCCACCCCAAGGCATTCACCTTTTTTTCTATCCCTTCAACTCTTCTGAGCACCTGCCATGAGCCCAGTCCCAGGCAAGGCCCAGGCAGAGCGAGGTCCAGTCCCCACAATGAAGCCCAGAGGCACACTTAGAACAAGGAGGCAACTGAACACATTAAGAGAGGGCTCTGAGAACCCAGAGCCAGGGAGGAGACACCCCAAGCCACAGGATCTGAATTCCCTAGGTCACATGGACAGCTTTCCCAAAAAAGAGGGAACCCAGATAAGGGACTTCCCCTGACGGTCAGATCAGACGTGGAGATAGATTAGGGCCCCCGGATACTGGTTAGATGTTTGTCAACTTGACTCAAGCTAGAGTCGTCTGGGAAGAGGGAACCTCAGCTGAGAACACACCTCCATCAGATTGGTCTGTGGGAGAGCCCAGTCCGCAGGGTCGACGGTGCCACCCCTGGGCAGGTGGTCCTAGGCTGTGTAAAGAAGCAGGCTGAGCAAGCTGTGGGGAGCAAGTCAGAAAGCTGTGTTTCTCCATGGCCTCTGCCCCAGTTCCTGCCTTGACTTCCCTTCATGATGGACTGTAAGCTGTAAAATGAAATAAACCCTTCCTCCCCAAGCTGCTTTGCGGTGGTGTTTTATCACAGCAATAGAAAGTGAACTAGAACATCCTGTCTCCACTCATGTGTCCCAGGGCCCACCCTTGCACACCCACGTGTACACACATACACATACACACACACCCCAGGACCCTGGACTCTAACTAGGAGTGTTCAAGATTCCAGTCCTGCCACCTCGCACCCTGGGATGGTCACGCCACGTTACCTCAACTCACCCGAGGCACCTCTCTTTCTCACCCTTGCAGGCACTAGACTGAGACCAAATAAGAAGGTTCCTCCTCCAGAACCAGGTCTCAGACTGAAGCAGGGCCTCTGGCATGAAACCTTCACTTGGGATGTGACTGTGGGGGCCACAGAGTAGCAGGGGCGGGTCTCTACCCCTCCTGCAGGGGCAGTGCGGAGAGAGGAAAGAGGACTTAGCAGTAAGCACTCACTATGGCAAAGAGCGGCGAGGAGTACTCCGCTTCTTCCTCCTCCTCTCCCAGCTATGGGAAGTGCCACCCTCCCAGGAGGTAAGGTTCACTCTTCCTCGTCCCTCCTAGCTCTTGTGGGAAGGTTTCTGATGGGACAGATGAAATGACACGTCATCCTGGCTAATGATTAAAATAATAATAATACTCACGGGACATTAGAGCCCTAGCAGAATGATGGGAGCATCCTTGGAGGGGAATAGCCTCGTTCAAGGGTCGGGGGAGGCATCAGTGGACGGTTGGATAGTGAGTTAGGTCTCCTCTGAGATGGCTTCCCTCAATCCTTGCCTCCTGGTACTCATGTCCCAGAGTGCCAGGGTTAATCTGGGTGACCAAGAGAGTATGCTGGAACTACGGGGCTTTTTTTTAAGACGGTGTCTCCTGAAACCCAGCCTCTAACTCTCTATGTGACTGAGGATGACCTTGAACGCTTAACCCTCCTGCCTCTCTCTCAGTGATGGGATTACCTGGTCCATGCCCAGATGGGTATGGCAATCAGGACTTCTTACATGATAGCCAAGCACTCTGCCAACTGAGCCACGCCCCAGTCCACCGCGTAACTCCCAAGGCGACAACATAAACGACATGGTCACCTCCATTTTCTGTTTGGAGCACATGTGGACATCAGCGGGTTTTTCTTCCAGCAACCTCAGCAGCTGCAAGGTTTCGCTAGTTTTTGTCTGCTGGTCTATTTGAAACCAGAGAAGGGTTGTGGGTGGGTGAGCTGTCTCAGAAACAAGCCCTCCAGCCTGACAAGCCTTCATCCAAATAACCGGGGCCCTCCACGGTTCAGTGGGTGCTTGCCGGCAATCCTGACAGCCTGAGTTTAATCCCTAGAGCCCGCCTCCCTAGAACCCCAATCCCCAATCCCTAGAACCCCAATCTCCAATCCCTAGAACCCCAATCCCCAATCCCTAGAACCCCAATCCCCAATCCCTAGAACCCCAATCCCCAATCCCTAGAACCCCAATCTCCAATCCCTAGAACCCCAATCCCCAATCCCTAGAACCCCAATCCCCAATCCCTAGAACCCCAATCCCCAATCCCTAGAACCCCAATCCCCAATCCCTAGAACCAACTCCCACATGTTGTCCTCTGACCTTCACATGCTCTGTGCTGCATGCATGCCCCCAACACACACACACACACACACACACACACACACACACACACACACACACACACATGCTCGCACGCGCGCATGCATGTGCACACACACATACACACACAAGACATATACACACATGTCCACACACATACACACAGGTATACACACATGCACACATGTACATACACACACAAATAAATGTCATTAACAACAACAAAAGACCATAGTCTGGCAGACACATGATGCAAACGCACAAGACACAGGGATCCGAAGCCAGAGTCCCCTAGTGAAGTTGCTCCCAATTCCTGACCCTCAGAATGTGGAGGAAGAAGAACTGAGTTTTGACCTAATCATCGTGTTACATGCTTATAATCCCAGCACTCAGGAGGTACAGACAGAGGAATTATGTGCATCACACACACAACATGTACAACATGTACACCACACACACATACCCACATGCATGCTTGAATTCCCCATTCACACATTTTAAAACACCTCACTCATGAAATGCTTATTAATTAAAGAAAAAACAGTTTTACAACGGACAAGTCATGCAGATGCCATCTTAACCACCCTGTCAACACAGAGACCGGACAGAGTGCAGGAATAAGAACGATGGCGTGGCTGCTTCATTTGTTTTAAGATGTATTTGTTTTATTTTATGTGTCTGGTGTTTTGCCTGCATGTGTGTATGTGCACCACGTGTGTGTCTGGTGCCTGTAGAGGCCAGAAAAAGGTGTTGGATCCTCTGAAACTGGAGTTACAGATGGCTGTGAGCTGCCATGTGGGTGCTGGGAATTGAACCCAGGTCCTCTGGAAGAGCAACACAAGCTCATAATGCTGAGCCCTCTCTCCAGCCCTGTGGTTGGCTTTAATGGCAGCCTTCCACAGGGTAGAACCCAAAGCCTCAGCTGACAAGCCCTTCTATTGCCTTAGTCAATGCTGGAAGACCTGCCTCTTCTGCGGGTGGCGTCTTCTGGTCCAGTGAGGGGGAGGAAGGGTGTCAGCCCTCTGTTCCCTCTGGCAGAGTCAGTTTGCCCCGCCCCCACTTCCTTCACTGATTCCAAGCCAGTGTTTACAGGCTCTCATCATTGACTAAGGACCAGCGGCTCTCCAAGAACCTTCCAGGTTTTTGGTGCCCAACTGGGGCTCCAAGGTACTTGGCCTTGTGGAGTGAGCAGCTGCTGTACTGTTGGGGTCCCCGGTGAGGACAGCAGCAGGGGATTACTCCAACCACTGAGGCACCGGACTCAGGGACTGAGCCACTATGGGGTCTCAGGTTCTCAGCTTTGATTCAGCCATTGTTGCCATTTTAATGCAACTGACTTAATAAATTCTGTAGTACGTTGTAATATATATTCACCTCATTGTTCTGTTCCTCTAAAGAACCCTGACTTACACATGACACACTCATGTCCTTGAGGATAGATGAGGTTTTATTACTTTTTTATGTGCATCTTCAGACAGTGGAAGAATGGTGGTGTGTTTATGTCTTCTTTTAGTTCTCTTGATTCTCTTGCTCGCCTTTGTCTCCTGCATCACGCTGCTTGTTCTCCGTCCCATGCAGTCCCTGCCACTTTCTCTCTCTCTTGCCCCGTCTCACACCCGGGATGACGCAGCTAGTGGAAAGAAGTGCTGAGTGAAGGTGGCGCTGGCTCAGCTGGGAAAGGGCCCGCCCCACAAGGATGAGGACCTGAGTTCAGATCCCCAGCACACATGTAGAAATGTGTGTGGTCATGAGTGTCTGCAGCAGAGACAGGTGGATGCCCAGAGCTCCCAGGCCAATCAGTGTAGCCAAGTGGTGAGCGCTGGCTCACCAAGAAACCCTGTCTCAAACAATAGGATGGAGAAGAATGATGGAAGTCGTCTGACAATGATCTCTGACTTCTACATGCTCATCATCATGTGAACACACGCAGAGACAGCACTCACATACACTACACACATGCACACATACATACAATGAAAAGTGAAGGTGAAATGCAGACCTTTCGAGAAATAAAAAACAAACTCCTGTGTCATCAGCACACCGCCACCCTCAGTGAGGGGATTCAAGGGCTGCGAGAAAGAGCGCCAGACGGAAATACATAGATATGGAAGGAACTGGGCTGGAGGGATAGCTCAGCCGTTAGGGGCTAGGATCACGACCAAAGATATGGAAGGAACAAAGGCCAGAGAAGAAAATCACTGGTTAATTTCAACAAATTTGTCTGTATAAAACAACAATACTAACAATGGCATGTGGAGTTTGACATCTGGAAAGGACTCGAATGCCAGGCGGCACGAGGTGACACCCCAGCACCTAAGTCAGGAGGTTAAATGGGGTGCCAGTGGCCTGAGGTCCTGCACTCTTGCACCAGTGATCAGGGTGACCGTATCCATTTGCCTTAGACTTGAACAAGTCAAGCTGGGCTGCGCTGGGCTGTTTTTAGAACAGCCACTAAAAGAAAGAGAACTAACAAATTAATAAAACAGTGATATGATCAATATAAATTCCAAACCAACCCAATGAAGTTTTAAAAGGATGTTTATGGGTGTACAATACATTTTGACTTTTAAAACATAAAACATAGGCATCAAAGATAACAACAAAAGCTGCTAATGAAGGTTGCTTCGGTCCTGGGGCGTGGAGAGGGGTCGGTGGATAACGCACCTGTTGTGTTAGTGTGACAGTGTTGCTGGGGTCCACAGAACATGTAGACGCCATGTGGGCCAGGCAGGCAGCCTCTAATCCCAGGCTCTGAAGCTGGGCACAGGGCCTGCTGGGTCAAACCGCTGAGGCAAACCAGCCGTATGGCCAAGCTCTGGGTTCAGCTGAGACACCCTGCCTCAGTGAATAAGGTGGAGAGAGATCGATGATGGAAGGCTCCCCATGCCAGTCTCAGGTCTCCACATGCATGCCAACAAATGTGCACTCTCACAAACAGGAACACACACACACACACA